CTTTATCCACCTCCCAGTTAGACCTTTCCAAAGAGCCACTCGCACCTATTGCTTTTAAGAAGTCCTTATGTCAGTAAGATACCCCGAACTACAGCTTAGAGTTTTACAAAGGAATACCGTCAGCAGAAACCTTCAGTTATTATTTTGGAAGTACTGATCCATTCCTTGATGTTATTAAATCGAGTATTAATTATTAATACCTAGTGAGTGGGCAAGGAACAAAGCCTTCTCACTACCCACAACAGAATTTGGGTGGTGCCAGTAACAGTGAAGTGAAAGCACTAGTTTCAATGCTTAACGCTCACAAGATATTGCTCTTCGTAGTGGTTATGCTTTTATTCAGCCTGCACTTCCAGGTGATTACACCGAAGAGAAAGACATGTTGTGCTTCAAATATGATTATACAGCTGAAAAGATGCATAATCTCATCTTAATCAAGATTAAGTTTCAGGCTAAGGAAGTTATCCTAGCACTTCCCTCTTTTCGCTCCATGCTACGTCACACTTCCAGTAACTTCTGATTAAAAAAAATGTTCAGTGTAAAGTGGATATTTACCTAAGAGACAAAATGTTTAATATTCTAATTTATCAGTGTCCAAGTCAGGGTTTTCCAGTAATAACATCAGCACAGGAAGAAAAGTTTGTTTTAAACGTAGTGCAATACAGTAACTTTACCTATCTGAGGATCTAGAGGCACTTTACCCAGGAGGGAAACATTTAAGTTCTGGCACATCTTCTCTGCACCTCCAGTAGTCGGGGGAAAAATCTGAGATTCATTCTGGGACAACGTAAAAATTAGAGTTAAAATATTGCAATTCTGAGAACAAGGTATTTTTGGAGCAATGTTTTATATACTAAGAACGTCAACATAAAACATGCTGTAAGATAGAGAGCCTTACCTTACACTTTGGACATATAAAGCCACTCATATTTTCCACAACACCTATGATTGGCAGTTTCACTTTATGGCAGAAGTTGATCTCCTTCCGAACATCCTGCAGCGATACTTCCTATAAAGGTTAGGAAACACTGCTATTTTGACTGCAATATTTTGATGCTGAATCCATTAAAGTTACATCCTTAGAACTACTTTAAAGAAAGTTCATAAGTTATTGCTCCTGTCTTCATATTTTGAGGAACATAAGCCTGTGGTAGGTGCTCTAGCAACAATTCTACGAGTAGCAATAGAACAGGTACAGCAGTTCTAGCCCACTGAATGTGGTTCTGTTTTGAAATCTGACTTGACTCTAGTAAAGATTCAGCCATATTTATGTTTTATCTCCTACTAATCTCCTGTCTTTAGTTCTTTAAACGTAACTTTTTCCACATTTTCAGTTTACAGAAGACCCTTGGCATTCTCAATAGAGTAGGCAAGGACAAGAACCATCAGCCTTACACTTGTTACCTCTTTTCAAATTGAATTTCAAATACGTTATCATCCCCTCAGACTTTTCTCATATATGCCTGCCCTCAGTCAGTTCTCCTGTTCCCTTCTCCCCTCACCACCTCTCCGATACCACCCTCACCGCTTCACTTCCTTTACATTTTGTTCTTTCAGCTGTTGTGGAAATATCCGGTGTCTTTTGCTAGTTTGACCTCCTGCTCCTTTCCAAACCAGGCTTTAAAACCTATGTTTGAATTTGACATTTTTTGAGTTTCAGCTCTCCAGGGGCTGGTTTTTCTTTTAAAAATGCACACCACAAAGTTGCCTACTGGAGGAAACAGGCTACTTCACGTGGTGTCAAACAGGGCACACCTGATCGCTTAGAAACCAAACTTCTTACCAACTTCTGAACATTAAGCTGTTGTTGAGTAAATTACGAATTCAGAATCTGGAAGAAGGAAGTGAAATACTTCCCTTTACCAGACAGGTCGTGACAGCTTTTGATTGTGAACGGCTCAGTGGTTTGGTGACCCACTCAGATCCCTGGCTCCACTGAGACACGCATCTAACTCGCAAACCAGCCAGCTGTCAGCACAAAACAAGGAAGTCAACTCCCTTAGCTTCTGTACCGTCGTTTCTCTGAAGTTAAACAGAGACTCTAAACCAAGGACTGGCTTTAACTGCCACGCTGCTTCTATCAATGGAAATTCCGTTCTCACACCTGAGGCGTGGTGATTATAACAGCACCGTCTATGTGTGTTGCACCGAGATACTGCACAATAGATAAGTGTTCATCTGATGTTCCTGGAGGTGTATCTACAATCAGGTAGTCGATTTCACCCCAGTCCACGTCACGAAGAAATTGTTTGATCAACCCTAAAAGAAAGGGTAAGAATGTGGAAGAGGGAAAAAAATACCTCCCTGTATTTCAAATTTTAGGGTCTACTTGAAATTTTATAGTCTAGGTATGCAGATCCTCCTGACTTGTCAACTTAAGTACAGAAATGCTTATTTTGCCAAGGCTTAAAAAAAACCAAAACCAACAATACAGCATCTAAACTTCTAAATTCATCAAATGAACATGTTCAACTAAAGAAAATAAATAACTATTCACTCATTTTTTCCTATAGCTTACTATACTATATTTACATTATTAATTAAACAAGCTCATAATACTAAATCTTTCAAACACATCAATTCTTGAAAACACTTGATACATACCATTTTTTTTTGGTCCTCTCCAGATGACAGCATCATCAGGACTACTAAGCAAGAACCCCACGGACATGACACATAAGTTTTCTTCAACATACTAAAAGAGAAGTAGAGAAACTCTAAGTAGAGTATACAGAACAGTAAAGAAAGAGCAGAGAAACCAACTCTAAACCCAGGCTTCATAGAAAAAGCAGTTGGGGAGGCAGAAGACATTAAGAAAATAAAGGCAGAGAACCTTATGCTTCTCTTGTCAAAGGGCACTGAAAACTACAATTTTTGTGCAACACTCAGTCACTACATTCACAGACTGAAAAAAATCCAGTTACACTGTGATTTACAGTGGTTTATGGAATCACCAAAGACAGCATAAGGATAAAAGCAGCTTTTCCTCTCAGCATTAAGCTGTCTTTTAACAGTATACACACTACAGGTGATCTTTAGACAACCAACACTGCTGTAAAACTCTCCTTGTGCTTTCTAAAGATTAACGAGGTTCTACTTGGGTGTAAGACACTTTTTGCCTGTCATTGAAAAGGTGACATACTGTACAGCTGCACGATAGCCAAAAATAATGAAATCAAGTAACTTATATTTATGGCCCATAGTATAGTAGGAAAGTAAGTAAACAAGAGATACTTAAAATAATGAACCTAGTTTAGAAACATAGTTGTATTACGATTAACAAAAGAAATTTAACACTCTGATCTATAGAGCCTGTATCCAGGCTCTATAGAATCTGAGTATTTATGTCATTAGAAGAAGAATTGATAGAAGTACCTCGGGCTCCTTACTCACTCGTTTTTCACCTTGGAAGACAGAGCCCAACCCAAACAAACCCAACAAGCTTTCTGAAACAGTTACAGCAGCTTACCACTGGAGACCATCCAGATCCACTCTGGTGAACCTGAAAATGGAAGCGATACATAAAGTTACGTTAGAAATAAATACAGATGTCACATAGAACATGAACGTAAACCAAAACTGGGTGAATAGATATCCTACCTAGAGGTACAACACTGCTTTATTGGAGCAGCTGAGTCAAAAACTGCAGAAGGATCAGATGCCCATTAATAAGTAAATAACTGTGGCACCCTTTTGCAAGAAATTTACTCATGACTTCATATATTAAATATAAATAATCTAGGGCTGATAAAGAGCATCACGCTAATATTACTTAAATTTTAAGCAGTGATGAAAATGTGGCAGACATGCAGCAAAAGCTGGTTTACAGAACTGGTCATCCTGAAAGCAGACACCTCTTTTACAAACTAAATAATGCTGAACTTCTCTATCTCACCTTTATTTGCCATTGCCACACACGTTTCCCAATAAACAGTCCCTTCAGAAGCTTTAAATCCACATAAACCCCAAAATGTTAATAAAAAATTGAGCTGAAATGCTTTAAACAACACGTCCAAGCTTCCACTTACCTGTTCTCCTTCTAGACCCATCATTTTAGGGATTGATGGCCCACAGATATCTATGTCCAGCAGTGCAACCTGGAAAACAAACCAACCATCCCACCCCACTGGAAACAAGCTTGCACAGGACTGTTTCCAGCCTCTAAATCACGCAACGAAAACACTGTCACGCACTTAATGCGGGCCGTAAGCTCAAAGCCTTAACGAGACGGGGAACGCGACCAGTGCAGTCACTCCGCTGCTCGGTTATCCGCGGCGCGCCGCAGGGCCGGAGCCCGGGGGCACGGCACGGCACGGCACGGCCCGCTGCTGCTGCTGCTGCTGCTCCTCCCGCCCGCGACTCCGAGACC